CCTGTTGCTTTTGCTTAAGTTGTTGTTGTTTATTAAGCTGCTGTTGATGTTGTTGCTGAAGTAATTGTTGCTGTTGTTGTTGCAACAACTGTAATTGAAATTGTTGATATTGCAACTGTGTTAATTGTGACTGTTGTGATTGAGTCTGAGGTTGCTGTAAAGGATTTACAAACGGTCTATATTGAAAATGCGATTGAGATAAATAGTTTGTAGGCGAAGATGGCGTTACAGCACCAGTAGATGTATTAGAGTCGCGATAATCTAATGGACCTCCTAAACCATTATCAAATTTTACATGACCAGTATCATCATGTATGGTACCATTGCCTTGAATACTGCTTATAGTAGTAGATCTTCGAACATTAGGAACATTAGATCCAAATATGCCGCCATTACTATTATAATATTGATCGGGAGTTTGAGGTGAGAAATACCCTTCCGTATTGTTCAATGGATTTGATGAAAAAGGTGTTGAAGGTGTCCAAAGAGATGACGTTGAAGCAGCAACATTGTAACCATTACTAGTGTAATCATTATGTGATGGTAATGTTGGTAAAGTTGCTGAACGCGTAGGCTTGTATACAATAGATTCCTTTTTTTTTTTAAAACCATAATTATTATTCATTTTTAAATATATATCTGATTTCAGCTCTCTATTTAATTATTTACCATACGAAATATATGTAACAAACCTTTGGCGAGTCCTCAAGAACGAGACTTCGTATTGCTTTCTCACAATCTTCATCATCCCCAAAACCTGGATTAGTACTCTTAGAACTCCGAGGTGGAGGCGATGAGGAAAGAAATGAATGTCCAAATGTTGAGCTATATAAGCTTTGTTGTGTTGATTGAAAAGTTAGACTTTTCTCTGCATGAGAAAGGTTGGATTGTGGATGTTCATTAGCCATGATTAGCACCACTGGACTACTGGTATTGGTATAATACTAGTTATTATGGTACTATCACCGTTAAAGTTTATTTATTACTGCGGACGCCTAAATTTGTAATGGCCAATCAGATTTTAATAGATAGATCGGTGATACAGTGATACAACAAATGTAACAAATGTTGGTTAAATTAAAATCTCTCGGTCTTTATTAGTTTGATAAAATGATTGTTTCTTTTTTTCGTCACGCGGTTCTTGATTCGTTTACAATATTGCAAACATAAGAATTAACAGAATTCAATAAGATCTATAATTAGTGTTTTTTTTTTTTTATTACACAACAATGAAACTGCAATTTAGACAATTGGAATCATAGAAATCATAGGAATTCTATGATCAAACATTCGTATCATATATGGACTACAGTTGATACTCCAAAGTTTTTTGACAATCGGAACCTCTTTTGAAAGTTTGGCATACATGCATCATCTTTAACTTGAAACACTTTATGATTCATCTGTTTTATTGTGAATTA